GACGGTTGGAAGATAAAATGAGGGAAATCTCCCAAAAAGTAGAATAAAATGGCATAGAAATGGGAGAGAAACATAAGCAAATTAGAGTATCTGTCCAGAAGGTTCTACTCCAAATAATAGGAGTTCAAGAGAGAAAAGGAGAAAACACAAGGAAGAAAATAAGAATAATTTCTAACAATCTCCAGAAGTGAAACAACACAAGCCTCCTGGTTGAAAGGACCCAAGACAATGATGAAAACAGACCCACAACATTAAACATGACTGAAGTTTCAGGAATGTTGCAGACAGATTCCAGATTCAGAAGAAAAAAAAGTAACATACAAGTATCAGGAATGAGAATGGCTTCAGATTCCCAAACAGTAAAAATGCAAATAAATGGGAAAAATTCTTTAAACTTCTAAGGAAAAATAATCTACAACCTAGAATTTTATACCCAGCCAAGCTATCAATCAAATATGGGGGTAGCATACATTTCCAGACATGCAAGGTTTCAAAAAGTTTACATCTCTTGTACCCTGTCTCAAGAGTTACTGGAGGATGAGTAATGAACCAACAGAAAAAGAACTCAAGAATACAATACCATTCACAATCGCAACCAAAAGAATAAAATACCTTGGGGTAAATTTAACTAAGGAAGTGAAGGACCTATATAATGAAAATTACAAGGCCTTTCTGAGAGAATTGGATGACCACATAAGGAGATGGAAAGACATTCCATGTACATGGATTGGAAGAATAAACATAGTTAAAATGTCCATTCTAGCTAAAGCAATCTACAGATTCACCGCCATCCCAATCAGAATCCCAATGACATTCTTTAAAGAATTAGAACAAAGAATCCTAAAATTCATATGGGGCAACAAAAGACCCCGAATTTCTAAAGCAATCCTGAGAAAAAAGAACAAAACGGGAGGCATCACAATCCCTGACTTCAAAACATACTACAAAGATACAGTAATCAAAACAGCATGGTACTGGTACAAAAACAGGTGCACAGATCAATGGAACAAAACTGAAAGCCCAGAAATAAAACCACACATCTATGGACAGCTTATCTTTGACAACGGAGCTGAGGGCATACAATGGAGAAAAGAAAGTCTTTTCAACAAATGGTGCTGGGAAAACTGGAAAGCCACATGTAAAAGAATGAAAATTGACCATTCTTTTTCACCATTCACCAAAATAAACTCAAAATGGATCAAAGACCTAAAGGTGAGACCTGAAACCATAAGGCTTCTAGAAGAAAACGTAGGCAGTACACTCTTTGACATCAGTATTAAAAGGATCTTTTCGGACACCGTGCCTTCTCAGAGAAGGGAAACAATAGAAAGAATAAACAAATGGGACTTCATCACATTAAAGAGCTTCTTCAAGGCAAATGAAAACGGGATTGAAACAAAAAAACAACCCACTAACTGGGAAAAAATATTTGCAAGTCATATATCTGACAAAGGCTTAATATCCATAATATATAAAGAACTCTCGCAACTCAAGAACAAAACATCAAACAACCCCATCAAAAAATGGGCTGGAGACATAAACAGTCATTTCTCCAAAGAAGATATACTGATGGCCAATAGGCACATGAAAAGATGCTCATCATCGCTGATCATCAGGGAAATGCAAATCAAAACTACACTAAGATATCACCTTACACCCGTTAGAATGACAAAAATATCTAAAACTAATAGCAACAAATGTTGGAGAGGTTGCAGAGAAAAAGGAACCCTCATACACTGCTGGTGGGAATGCAAACTGGTGCAGCCACTATGGAAAACATCATGGAGATTCCTCAAAAAACTAAAAATAGAACTACCATACGATCCAGCCATCCCACTACTGGGTATTTATCCAAAGAGCTTGAAGTCAGCAATCCCAAAAGTCCTATGCACCCCAATGTTTATTGCAACACTGTTTACAATAGCCAAGACATGGAAGCAACCTAAGTGTCCAGCAACAGACGAATGGATAAAGAAGATGTGGTACATATATACAATGGAATACTACTCAGCTGCAAAACAGAACAAAATCATTCCATTTGCAATAACATGGATGGACCTTGAGAGAATTATGTTAAGTGAAATAAGCCAGCAAGAGAAAGATAATCTGTGTATGACTCCACTCACATAAGGAATTTAAAATTACAGACTAAGAACAGTTTAGTGGATACCAGGGAAAAGGTGGGGTGGGAGGTGGGCACAAAGGGCGAAGTGGCGCACCTACAACATGACTGACAAACACTAATGTACAATTGAAATTTCACAAGATTGTAACCTATCAATAACTCAATTAAAAAAAAAAAAAGTTACTGGAGGATGTGCTCCAGAAGGTGAGTAGAAGATACAGCAAATAGGCAATTCAGCACAGGAGGGAGAGAAGGGAATTCCCAGGAGAACAGCTGGGGCACCTTGCCCCAGAACTAGAAAGGAATCAGTCCCGACTGAGGTGTGGGATTAAAGACACAAGACAGGTTGAAGGCTGTCATGACCAAGGTATTTACTGCATTTATAATCTGAGGACAGCATGTCCTGGTATATCTGGCTCCCATTTTGTTCTATACTTGGCTTGTTTGACCTCGTCCCAATGAAGTGCCTGCTCTCCCCTTTACAGTGACATCTAGATCAGCTAAGGCCTTTCATTTCACTACACAGGAAGGTTCTGGACTGATCTTCTTTTGAGAGATGGAGGTAGGTCATGGTGAGCTTAGAAGCAGAACATATAAAACAAGCACAGAGCCTCTAAGCATATTTCTGCAGGAGATCCAGAATGCTCCAACTTTAGTGATTTGTGTTTCCCAGGACCCACTCATCACCTTACTCACTGACATCTCCACATGGGGCTCTTGTAAACTCTAGAAGCTAAAGTCAGACTCAGAGACTATTCAGTTCATCTTCTCACAGCTGTCTTCACCAAATGGTAGCAAATATTGCCCCCAGAGACCTAGACTGGAACTTCTCAGTTGTTCAAAATTAAACAAGATACTGGGATACTAAATAGGTGACAATTAACATAAAAGTCTAGATAGTACCTAAGAGTTACCCAAGGGGAAAGAGTGCAATGAAACTGAGGACAGACCCATAGGTAGCTTCTATGTTCTATTTCTTAACTTGAATAGTGGATATGTTTTTGTTTTACTATACATTCTCCTTTAAGTTTCACAATTAAAATGTAAAGCTGTTAGAATTTTTACCTTCTCCTGACCTTTAACTGGAACAAACAAGCTGGGTAAAACATGCTAATGTCAACACACAGGAAGAAGAACATAAAAATGTTGATAATTTTACAGTAAGATTACAAGATGGCTAATCAGTCCTTCACCTGAGCTGATGGATGACATCACAATGGACGTGTGCATACAATGCATCACAGGTAATATACATAAATGGTAATAGCTTTTGATACTTAATTTGACTTGTAAAATAACAGTAGTTCTAAAATATCTGAAAAAGTGATTTTCTACCAACCATGGACAGTGCTTAAACAAAACAGGTCCTTAAGACACAGCAGGCAAAACTCTTTGTGATTTTGCCCCCTACCTGGGATGCCTTAGGCCTTTTCTCCTTGCTAACACTGAGTCTAGGTCCTATTGTTCTCTCCAAGCTTAAGCAATTCTTTTCTGAAATGTTTTCCCCAACTATCATGTATTAGAGATCATTTACCAAATGCCAGGCACTGTTCTAGATCCTTGGGGATAAAGCAGTATTCAAAAATTCTCTGCCCTGTTTGTTCTAGTGAGAGGAGACTGGACACAAGATAGATCTCAGATGCTAGTAGGTGCTATGGAGAACATAAAGCAGGGAGGGAGCATAAAAAATGCAGGGGAGGGGAGCTGGCCCAGTGGCATAGTGGTTAAGTCTGGCACACTCCACTTTGGCAGTCTGGGTTCACGGGTCCGGATCCTGGGCACAGACCTACATCACTCATCAAGCCATGCTGTGGTGGTGACCCACATATAAATTGGAGGGAGGTTAGCACAGATGTTAGCTCAGGGCCAATCTTCCTCAAGTGAAAAGGGGAAGATTGGCAACAGATGTTAGCTCAGGGTCAATCTTCCTCACCAAAAAAAACAAAACAAAGAATGCAGGGGAGGGATGTGTGTGCTATTTTTAAATACAAGGTCAGGGAAAAGTTTATGGGAGAGGTGACAGTTGAGCACCAACCCTGAGAAAGGTTTATTTGCAGTAAGAGCACTTCAGGAGGAACAGCATGTACTAAGATTCTCAGTTCAAGTGGTACTTATCATGGTGACCTGGCATTTGCTAGTTATATTTTGCTGCAAGTACCCTACCTCCTCAGATGATGCAGTCCTTGAAGGCAGAAACCCCATCGCTTTGGACTCTCAACCTTAGCAGGGAACTTAGGTTAAGTTCCCAACCATTGGTTATAGATGACTACAATCATAAATATTCCAAAATACTATGAAATAATTTAAAATATTGTGTAAAAATCTGGATAATCAGCATAAATCACAATATGCTTCACCAAGCCTTGTGGCTTGTAGTCACATTCTCTTAATTGCAAAATACACAATGTGCTGATTTAAACCCTCTAGATTAGGTGCAGTAAAATTAGAAGCTCATAAAATAGAACTTGAATAGCACCAAGTCAAAGTGGTATTCCATGTCTGTAAGATTCTAGCTGGCTTTGAGACCTTTAATTGAGATAGCTATCAAAATAAATGGTCAATCCTTTTAGGACTTAGTACATTCCCAACATGAGCATAAGCCATCACCCTGACCCTGTGCTTCTGTGGACTGGCATTTAAATACACCATCTCTAGTATTCTACTTCTGAAATGACAAGCTCTTCAGCCAAGTTTTTGTATCAATGTTGGTAGAGTACCTAATGCTATTGTTTTTCACAACTTTTAAAAATCTTACAATAAGTGCGTAGATTTAGAACTGATAACATCTAAGATAACACCTACCAGCTTTGGAAAGCCATTATCAAATTACAGATAAAGACATTTTCTAGTAATTTAGATATCAAATGCAGCTCACCTGCTAAAAATGGTTCTGCCCCAGCCATTCTGTTTCCAACTCAGACCAACAGTGTCCAGATTTTTTTTCCAGAACAGTCCAGATAACAACACATTAGTCATGGACACATGAACAAGGGTCACTGACAACTTGTCTGTTTCAAGGAAGTCACAGTTTACCAAATAATTAACAATTGTGATGGTGTCATTGCTTGAGCCTTGAAAAAGTTTGAAGGAAAAAAAAGGACAAAACTCATCAAAAAATAGGGAAAGTTTTCAACTATGTATTTTAATCAAGTATGAATGCTTCCAAGCATTAAATAATGTTGAAAAGACAAACTTTCTAGTTTAAACTGAAGTAAATATTTCTGACTTTGAGCCAGGTACTCACTGAAGCCAAGGAAGTTTTCTTGATTATTTCTTCTGTTTCCTGTCTTCACTGTTCCTAAATTCCAAAAGCAAGTCATCCAGTAAATGAGTCCCAACAACCTTAATATTCAGTTTTATCAACCATCTGAAATAACCCTTTTCCTCCAGCAAGGGGAAACTCAGCTTCCTACCAGTGGACCCTTCTCAGGAAAACACTCTTACTGCTCAGCATTTCAAAATCGAGTTTAACTGGGCCACTTTCCTACATACAGCAAATTAAACCACTTAATCCCTGAAAAAGAGTGGAGAGGTTTCAAAGAAATATTTGAGAACATCTGCACAAGACAACTGGGACAACCAGACAAACAAAGAACACAACCAACTCCACTTAAGTTATGAAGACATTTTCCTTTAATTTATCCAAACATTTCATACTCATGAAGTCATTTATTTCGGAGCAAACCTAAGCTTATAATATTAAATTCAAAAATATTACAATATTTACAAGACAGTGGACAGAGAAAACTTACTGGTATAAATTACAATACTGTAGTTTTCTCTTCAATATCTGTTGGTAAAAATGGCAGAGGAACCAGTTTTGTCTCTGTGAAGATCCTCGTTCATTACTGAACATAATGAGGAGCCCCTGATGAGGAACGGGCTTTACCCCAAATGTTCCACTGTCATAGCTTCAGACCCTCAACATTCCTCTTCAAGTTCAGCAGCTCCTTCTCCTGCCTTCTTCTCTCCAGCTTGAAGGCTAATCTGTTAGCTTTCTTCTCCACCCTCCGTTCCTGTACAACAACACCTTCATGTTATTCCAGTCTTCAGACAGATACAGACTGATTTTACAGAAGTGATCCCATGGCCTCCCCACCGCCAGCTCTCGGTAAAGCTCACATCTGAGCAAGATACTTTACCTTGCGCTCTTCTTTTATAGCTTGCTTTCTTGCTCTTTTATCTTCTTTGCTTTCATTTTTAGAACGTGGTTGGGTTGACACCTTAGGCAGATCGCTGTCATTAATCAGCTGCATTCGTTCAACTTGCTTTGCTGTGAGTCCTTTCTTAGGTAAGACATTAAGAGGGATTCCTGTTTTAGAAGACAGTTGGACTTGTTTGGGCTGAAATAAAGACAAAATAGCATTAGGGTTATTTCCCTTTCCTATTAAAAAGTAGCTCACTAATGACACATCGTTGTTGCTTTTCCCAATGGAGTTGCTAGCCACAAAAGGACAAAGCTACTGTGATAAAATAATTTGTATTCTCCATTTCCTACACTGCATGTTTCAAATAACTCAGGACACTAGGACTTACCTTTGGTTGATACTTGATAAGTTGCGGATGGTTATATAAATTTGAGTACGTACCTTAAAAAAGAGAAATATCAAGTATCAGTAAAACATTACTGAGTTCCTAGCATATTCCACACTTTTCTGTTTTCATAGTTCAAAATAACACTGGAGTCTCTCTTATAAATGTTTTTAAATTGTTACAACTTGGGCACAGGAATATTACTGTTTCCAAATTACTTTCACAAAATATGTAGTTTTTCAAATAGCTGAAGTACTTAACACTTTAAAATTACTATCACACTTTAGCAGTAAAACGGACACTAAGGCACTTACTACAAATGGATTCACAGTCCCACTTCTCTTTGGCTTCTTCAAGAACTACAGTAACAATCTCTTCCTCCTCAGCCCCATCAAGTTCATTCCTTGGCAGGTCCTGATCCTCGAAGAGTTCAAGAGTATTCAACTTTACACAACTTTTGGTTGAAGTGTCAAAAACGAAGACAGAGGAGGTGGAAAAAGAAAATACCCATCATTATACTGTATGTTACTAAACCTGCACTGAAAGAGCTACGGAAACGGCATTTTCTAAAATCCACATACTCATGTGCACTGTCTGTCACTTTGTGGCAGAATGAGCTCTACCCAGCCATGCCTCTGCCCTCCAGCAGATTCTGGACATTCTGCTGACAGGAAGGAAAGATCTATCTGCACCTTTGCAACATTACAAATTAAACAAGATGGCAGCTTTCCTAAAACATGGCCTTTTTTAAAGCCTCAAAAAGCATTATTATTCCATCTCTCTCTCTCCAAAGTATTCAAATAATTCAGAGTACGTAGCCCTTGACCTGCTGTAGGATCTGCACACAACAGTGATCATGGAACATCAGGCCTTTCTAGCAAATATAAGCACCTCCTTAGTTTCTCTCAGACAAATCACCTTGATGTGGATGCTGACTCACCAAATATTTGGCTGGAGAGAAACGCCAATCCAGCTGGAAAGACAAACTCTTATCTTTCTATAAGCCATAAATATCTATGTCGCAGAACACCTGGCATTTCAGGAAGATGAAAAGAAGGGTGTATATACTTAGAAGTCACAATAGTTCTTCAGCCAAAGAGGCAAGAGGCACCACCTCACTCTCCAACTGGAATGTGACCTTGTACTCCAGCTGTACAACTACAGACTTTATTTGAAAATGCAAAAAAGCAGGTAAACAGGAAGAGTCAGCGTACTTCTCTGCCTTCTCCTTATAGTAGTCATTCAAAACTTCCTCTAAGCGACTGCTGTCCACTTGAACGGAACCTTCCAATTCAGCATTATCCAGAGCTCCAATTTCATCATCGTCATATTGCTCATAAAACTTGAATATAAAGAGAGGATACCATGAAAAATAAAAGTATTCATTCAGACTACAGCATTTAAATGTTTTACATTAATTTTATTCCTAAACAATACTGGAGCACTACCATGAGATCACAACTACCATTAACAGTATGAGCAGGGATTCAGTACCATAACAATAACATGTCCAAGACTTCTTATGTAACACAACAGTCTACGTAAGACTTACATTTAGACTGAAAATCAGCTGCCAGTTAACATGAAGATGAAAGGCAGTTATTCTGTTCAGCTTAGACAGCAAAATGCTAGGCAGAAATCTTTATCTCAGATTATGTTACAGATACTTTCAAATTCATTGATGATGCAAACTAAAAGATTATCTAACAGCTTCCTTTCAATGTACAAATTTCATTCTAGTTTAGATAATGTGTACTGTATTATTCAAATACTGTTAGGCTCTGTAAAATACTAAGCAGGGGGTGACGTACTCCTGTGGAGTGAGGTTATGTGAGGAACGCTTTGCTCGTCTCTTGGAGAGAAGGAAACTAGCATCAAGTGAAAAGGCAGCTAAGTTAGAACCTTTATCTTAGATTCACCTTGAAGGAAATCGTTCATTCATCCACTCATCATTTACTGAATGGTTTTAACTCCTACCATATGCCAGATACCACTTTGGGCCTTGGTATATATCAGTGAGCAAAACACAAATGCTGAAAGAAGTAGAATTTTGTTTATGCTCAGGCCAATTCTTGAGGAAAAGAGCATAATCTTGGAGATTGTGGTTGGAGAGATTCAGAATCGAAATCTAGGAGGTGTGATCAACCATCTTTGGACTTATACATGTTCTTTTCAGAATTAAAACTAGGATGGTTTCATAGTCTGTTTTAATAAGAGATCTTAGGCTCTTTCTAATGCTGCAAGTTCTAGCTTTGAGATCCAATGTCATATAAAATTTACTAGGAACTAGTACTAAAAGGCTATCAGCTGGGAACCTCACCTTCTCAAATCTCTCATCATGCAGGGTCAGCTGCTCATTTCTCCTCATGACTGAGGACGTCATAGAATACTCAGTAAAGCGACTCTTTGTTTCCTCTTCCCAGAACAAGCGGTCCTCTCCAGCCCCAGGAGGTTTTCCAGGGGCAAACACAGCCTCATCTGATAATGAGCCTGCAGAGTCACAGCAGTCCTCATCACTACCTCCTTCCTTCTCATCATCCACATCTGCCCACTCACTGCCATCTTCATCCTCAGATTTCCTAAAATCAGAGTCATAAATTAACTGTCAAAACAACTTGAAAAACAACAGAACTGAACCAAATGACTTTACACAAGTAAAATTTGAGGGTATTTCAAGCAACATTCTTGTTTAGGGAGGAGCAGCTGTGCTGCTTGACCCGTCTCGTACGGTTGGAAAAGTAATGAACCAGCAATCAGGCAACTTGGACTTTAGCCCCACCTATCGATGGTTTGTAAAGACCTCAAGTCTCACATTTTTTGCTCTAAAACACAGAAGTCTCAGACTACAAGTTCTGGGAGGTCTCTTCCAGCTCTAACACAATACGGTTGGCACCCTCCTGAAGAGGCATGAGTCAGGCCATGCCTGCTTCAAAACAAACCGCACATACTGTGTATCCATCCCCTCCTCCTCTTCTGTTGGCTTATTGGCCTGAAGAATAAAATCATCTTCAAGCAGATTATCCGGATTGTCAAAGTCAAAATCATCATCAAGAGCCGCAACAATGTCAGGATCAAAATCCAGCCGAGGTCCTAGAAGAAAAAAAAAAAATTGAATTGTAATTCCCAAGAAAGCATGATTCCTTCACTCAACTAACATAATCTGAGTACTTACTATTTACCAGATTCTATCTATGTAGTGAGGATAAAAGAATGATTAAGAACTTTAAGAGGTTCAGTTGAATGAGGAAGAGAGAGGGATGAATGCAAGAAAACACAAAAGGGGGAAAAATCCCTCTGGGTTCAATACCCACTGGTAAAAACTCTTCCGTTACAGATCTACAATATTAAACTGTGTTGATTTAGCAAAATTCAAAGCTTTCACCTGCAGAAAGAAACTGGGTAAATACACCTATTAGACGTAACTCAAATTAAGTATTTGTAGCCTGTCAAACTTTCTTTTTGGTCATACTGTGTATCTGGAATAAGTGGTAAAATGGACTTCTATAAAATACTTCTGTACTCTCGGGGGAAATTCTGAAAGCTAACAGATTATGTATTTTCAACACTGCATTACATGTATGTAAGGCTAATTGAATATCATGGTTTCCTTTGCAATATGTTAGGTCAAGTTTAAGAGTCCTCTACTAGACCACCAAAAATTTTTCCACTTTCCTCTCCAAATAGAAACTTCAAAGACTAGGAATTTGACGGCAACAAAAGAAGAGGACGTTGATCACACTCAGCCCTTCCTAAAGATCTCTAATCTGAATTTGGACACATCTCAATTATTTTAATA